CAAGAATTTTCTCATTCACCATCATGTCTTGTGACCATAATTGTATTTCAGATGATCTTGTATTACTACCAAAAAAGCAAATGAACTGTTGTTAGTAAAACTGAGGTTTATTATACAATCCCTCTTGGTTCCCCACTCATGTTTGAAATGCTTTTGAAGAGCTTTATTTTTTTTAAGGTTATTCTTTGAGGACATCAGCATGATTGAATTTTAAAATGTGATTAGTTTCTAGATATTGACAAACGAGACTAAATGCTTTTGTAGAAAAGGTATGAATGAGAATGAACATCTTCACAATATGAGAGATATTCATTCTCATTCATAGCTTTTCTACATTTGTTAACATGAATACAGTTCACTAAATGCTTTAGGCACGTCTGTTAGAAAAGTGTTTTATGTTTTTAAGGTCTATTTATACTATCAGTGTCCACCTGTGGTGTATTAGCTTAGTATTAGTTTGTACCTGGAAACATTAACATCCAGAGCACCATTTCTAACCAGGTGGTTAGTGAGTGGGTAATATGTTTGTATGTGGACAGCTATTACCTAAAGTCCATTTGTGTTACTAGAAAAGTCTGCATTTAAAGTGATATGTGATTTTCATGTCAGACATTTCAGCTTATGAAATGGGAAGTAAAAGATATGTTGATATTATAAAAAAAAAAAAAAATGATCTTTAACCCAACATAGAAAATCAAAAAAATTTAAATCATATATGTACTTACCATTACCGCCGGTATATTTTGAAACTGAAAATAAAAGATTCCGGGCGGCTACAAAATCGGTACGCAGGGTTGGCCCGGACTGTGGCCCATTGCTGCTTCGGAGCGCGAGCCCCGATACAGCGTCACACTGGCGGGATGCCCGGCAATGTTTATTTTTTCGGATGTCTCATATGTAAGACACCCGTCGTTACTGGGTTGAATCCCTTTGATTTTGCATTTAATTGCTTATTTTGTACCATATCTGGGACACATAGTTCATAATTGTTTATATTATCTGGCACAGCAGTGCATTATACTCAGCAGTTGCTCAGATACTTAATAAGCAGGCATATATTCAGTACAATTTGCAGTCTTACCACTGCTTAATGGTCTATATTATGCTTCACTACCATGCTTAAATACTATCACAGGTGGAGGCTGGTATTGTTATAGGCCTTTATTCTTGACATTCAGAACATGTTATGTATTTACAATAAAAGATGTATGTTGGTTGAGTATACATGTTGTTACAGCTTTCAGAGGACCCATTTCAGTCTGTTAAGAGTTTGATTGATTTTAATCTCATCCCAAGATTTAAAGACAGTTTATAGAAGTCCATGCTTGCTCAGTACAAAATAAAAGCTGTGAAGATGAATCTTTCTCTTTCTTTACATAATTTTAACAGTAAGTTCAGTAGCTATGTAAAGGTTATTAATTCCTAATAGACAGTATATGGCAATTTTTGCAGTCAGTCTTGCTACCGGCATGTGTCCAAAATCTGGACCATAAGTTAACTTGAGTAACAACTCTCTTGAGTATTTGGCTTGAAGGCCTGCCTCACACAACACATGTATGGTATCAAGACTCCTTGCCTCCCCTTTGCAATCTTATCATCAATTTATCTGCATGAGCATTTTTATTTTGTTACCATTTCCAAGGTCTGTGTTATTTGATATGCTGTATCATGATGCACAGATTTTATGCCATCTTTATAAATACTCTATAATTTGGTGCAATAACAATGATAATGTTTTGTTATTTGTGTTATTTTTTCAATTTTTTGTAATATACAAATTTCTGTAATAACCCTGCACTGACCATCACAGTGGGCAGGAATGAGCATGGGAATAGTGTCATTCCTAGAGCCAGCACTCTTCCACTTGTAGCTTATAGATGGTACATTCCAGACTCATTTGCCAATGGTAATTAATGCAAGAGCCCCTTCCAAAATGTCCACTGTATATAATCACCCTCCAAGAGCTTAGTAAACTTGCAGTGAGTCATTCCTGTCACCTCTGCCTTCAGCCAAATTTTTTGTGATGCCCCAGCATTCAGTCAAATGTTTCCTTGGCAGTATATTCATGTCACCTGCCCCTTATCTAAATTTTTATCATGGCATGATGATCAAGTCACCTGGATCCAAAGGGGTTAAATGGGATGAAAGAATGCATAAAGTGATTTTACCAGCTCTTTTTCCATTGTTTTATATTTGGCCATATTTTTTGTTCTTTCCAATTACTGTTGTGAAGTTTTGTTTTTGGGATTATCTTTACACACAGGTAGCTCCTCATGTTCTCAGCCTGAATTTCCCTTTCCTTGAACATTTGGGCATTTTTTTTTCTCATCCTATTAATATTGATATTGTTATAAATAATATTTATGACAATAAATCAATAAAAGAGCAATGTTGTTGTAAATCAAGGAAAAGGTTGAAGGCAAGGTAAGTAGGACTAGTAATATACTGCTTGGTGACTGAGCACTTGTGGAAGCATGTAGTGTAAATACAGTTATCAATACTATCCATATAGTTGGGGGTTGGAGATCTGGATTGTTCAAGTAAGATCCTACATAAGTCTCACAGTGCTATCATTGGTTTTGCTGACTGTACCCTGTGATCTAGCATGTGTTGTATCTTCAAGTGTTCAGCAGGGCCTTGCACATAGCTTGGTTGGTCGCAAGTTCTGGTCTGCTGTCATCAATTACACTATCTGGGTATGTAAAGTTCTATTGTCATCTTTGCCACATATGTGCCAATTGAACAGGACCTTTAACCAGATCCCTAAACCTGGATCTTGGTTTTGCTCCTCTAGACCCAAGGGATTTGGACTCCTTAAGTACATCAAGAGCTGCCAGTAGGATCTCCAGAGACTCGGGTAAGATAGAAATGTCAACAAGAAAATCAAGGTCAGTATTGATATTATCCAGTATGCTATGTATTGACTGATTGCTAGCTCTACCCATTTTCTACTCCATACAAATGTTGAAAAGCAGTGCAAAAAACAGCCCTGGCTGACTCCTAAGTTTATAGGAGGAAGGTAGACATACCCCACCACACCCTATATAACACTTTCAGTAACTTGCTTTTAATCCAATAATCTTTATCATAGTTCCCCTAAGTCTAAGGATTTTGCAGTTACATATGATACACATTTTGTAGTCAATGGACATTATGTTGGTCAGTTCTTGCCCACTACCCCACATTTTAAGCCAAATATTGGAATGTTTTGTTAATTTAAACTTTCATATATAACATTACATCAATATGATTACACTAATGCACACTTGCTCATGACTGTGATGCAATAATGTGAACATATCAATGCTTTTGGTATAGACACAAATTTAAACTAATAAAACATTTAACAAATGCATTTTGATGTTCTTTGATGTTTACAGAAGGGAAGCATATAATTTACTTCACTAGTAGATTGAAAGTCACCTTCATTTATTCTATTGACTTTGTTTCCCAATGAAAAGCTGCTTTATTTTTTTCTTATTCTTATGTACAGTGTAATTGCTGGTCAAGATAGTTGTGCTAATCTTCAAGGTGCTCTTTGTTTTCAGAATACATTTACTGCCAGATTTACCATCATTTGTGGACTGCTTGGGCAAATTGTGGATATCTTTTTATATTAATTTACAAGTAAGTTTTTTATAGGAGTTAGAATTGACCTTTGTATTTTGTCCATAAAGAATAAATAACTTTTTTAAATATTAAAAGTACAGCAAATTACTTCTACTTATCTCTTTTATTTTGTTTTCACAGAAAGTAACTTGCTAGATTATATCATAAGAAAGATTGAGACACTGTGTGTGTGTGTGTGGTGTGTGTGCGTGTGTTTTGTGGCATGCTTCAATATATGTTTTGACATCTTGATTGAAGATTAAAGAGTTTACCATCTTTGGCTTCAATAGTTCTGTTTAATGTTTTGTGATTGCCTCATTTTACTTTCAACTTTTTATTGTCCTCTCATCCTTCTTGTGTTCAAGATTAAAGTCATCTTTAACTTCACTTCCTATAATACAGTTGAACAGCATAACCATGGCCCTCCTTTTCTGTTTTTCGTCCAAAGTAGTAAGTCCTGATTTCTGTAGTCTAAGAGTAGAGTAGGTACCCTTCTTGTGGCAGCTCTTTGAACTCTTTCCAGTTTGTCTATATCCTTTTTTATCCTGTGTGTGTGCGTGTTTGCATCTGTTTACTAACTACATGTGTTCATAGTTTTCTATTTTCAGGCATGTCTTTTTTCTTTCTTTTTTTTTGTCTTTTCTTTTCTTTTGGGCTTTCTGCATCACAAACTTATTTGTCTTTAATGAAAAATCAAGAAATAACTTGTTAAAGTTCTTCACTTAAAATAGAAAGTAAAAATTACCAGTGTTTGTGTGTGTGCGTGTGTGCATGCGTACGTGTGTGCATTGCTTGTGTGCACATATGTGGTAGAAATATGTTGAGTGAAATCATGTGATTTTTCTGCATATTGACCTGCTAATCCTTTACACCCAAACAATGAATGGGTCTACTAGTGCTATTACAAGTTGTAAAGACCTAAAAAGTAAGAGGAGGAGGAGGAGGAGGAAGATAATAGGACCCCTATGCCTATGCAGTGAAAGAACTATGATGTCTATAACAATGTGTACATGGTGATGGAAGAAGATGGGATGGCAAGCTTTCTAATGTGTCTGTGTGCGAGTGTGCATGGGTGTGCCTCAAACTTCTTGGTAGAATGGCTTAGTGAAAAATAATCCATTAAAGTTTTAAAGTAAGTTAATTATATATTATCTACTAGTCTGGAAACATATTTGTAAATTACAATACTTTCTTTAAATCTTTCACTATCACCATAATTAGGCATTATTCTTATAGTGAACTATGAAGTCAGTTTGCAGGAATGGTGAGAATATTTGCATTTTATTAATCTTCAATTTTTCGTCAAGTATTTTTATTTTATATCTTTGTTGGAAAATATTTACATTTTTATGTTTTCAAAAAGTCTGTAAATGGTGAAGAAATGACCTTGATGTATAACAAAAATTTACTGCTAAATTCTTAATACATTAATTTTAGTGGCTAACCATATATTATTATAAACTTTGTCCATTTGAATAAATAGATTAACAGAGATATTTAACAAAATATTACCTTTGTAAATAAAAAATGAAGAGGGGAGTAAAGTTCAAGTGATATTATATACTCAGGTTGCATCACGTAATACCCAAAATTGCTATAATTGTCAACGTATGATTTAAAACTGAAAGCACTGATATCAAAAATATATATTCCATGAAGAGCAGTCCACTTTTACCACCTGCAAAATGGCTGAAATGCATACACCTTTGAGGAAATAAGGGAGAACTGTTAGGTGTTGCTTTTCAGTAAATCGGGAAATTCGTCTTCATTCCTGTGGTCAATTTCCGTGGCAGGTCTCAACTCCTTTGAAATTTCATTGTCAGTAATCATTTGTGAATCTTCATTTTCATTATCTTCTTTTATGTTCATTTTATTTCCGTTGGTTTTCTTTGGACTTCTCCTTGCCAAGAAGCTTTGCCGAGTTATGTTCCTCACCATGGTCATTCTGCAATGTGTGAAATTTCCTGTTAAAATTTATTCATACTTGATAAGTTATACCAAATACATGTTTATTTATAAAGTTCATTTATGTAGATTTGGTTATATTATCAATAAAATTAATAGACACAATAAATTATAAAATGAAAATTAATATATATAAACAGGCAAAAAATATTTCTAAATGGCTAAATATTATTTTCAATTATATAATCATCATGTGTCAATTACAGTTACGGGACTTATTAATTTGGCTCACATTGTAAATAAAAGAAGTTGAGAGCATATATGCTGTTATAGACCCTGTCCAGAAATGTGGGTTTCACACTCCGAACGGCATGTTGTCAATGGGTTAAATGTAATAACCAGTTATACTTCTATAATATGGTACAAGGTAGATAGACTTAAAACCTTTCTTACCCTGGTATATCACTGTATCTTTCACTCATAGAAATTTCTTCATTCAGTCTCATGTTGGCCCCATCTCTCAAAAGTCGCATAGCAATACGAGCAATATTATACGCATCATCACGGCCACAGTGAGGTTTGCCTTCAAATCTCATTCCCAATGTACTTAACATGTCCTTCAGGCATATCTGCAATTATTAAAATGAGAATCACCAAGTAAAATATTATCACTATTATTAATTCCATAAAATATTCTGTGATAAACGAGCCAATTTATATTATACACAATATATAAAATATATACAATATATGAAAATCTATTTTTCTTATTATTATTTGCTTAGGTGTCTAATACAACAAGCAAGTACATTACCCTTACTCTTTTGGAGTTATAAAAATTGCTATAGGTTTTCCTGATATTGATCCACTGTCGGCACCATTTAGGAAATGGCAAATTAGAAGTCTGTGGAAGAGATAAAATACATCAAGATAGTGTCTAACAGTAGTTATATTACTTTATATATTTAAATGTCATTAAAAGTATCCAGAAACTTTCCAAATATCATACCCAACAATACAATTTTTTAATTACAATACTAAAAAAAAAACTTTGCAAAGTTTACTGGATGAGAAATAGTCCCCTTCTTTCATATCTGAAAAGAAGCTGCATTGCTAAAAAGATAACTGGATAGCAGTTACAATCAGACCTATTGCATAATACTGTAAAAGATCGAACAAAGATTACATGATTTCAAGGCATGAATATTTTTTTAAAAGGATGTTTAAGAATGTCAAAGAGTATATTGTCATCTGGTTAAAAAGTTCAAGATATTGCTTTCAAGTGCATATAATTAAATCTTTAATTTTATTGTAAATATAATATAAAACACAAAACAGACAACATGCAGCCCAATAAACAGTAAACTATGAATTGCAGAGGCATAAAATCTATAAACTGTATGCAAAAAGGAAGTAAAAGGAAAAAGTAGCTATGATGGCATTTTTATACTTTTCTACTGATATTAAAGATAGATTCAATATTTATAAGCAAATAGGATGGTGTAAGGAATTAATAATGACACTAATTTAACTGCTACTGATGAGGTAACTGTTCTCTTGAGCATTTTACCTCTTCTCTGCATGCAGTCACCCATTGCCACCAAGTATATGAAATGTCCATAGGGGTTTTGTTTTGTTAATTACATTTAGACACAGTTGGCTCTACAAGTGCCCAGCCACAAAGGAATCTAAGAGATGGCCCTATGTAAACTCATAAATTGCTTGAAGTTTTATCAATTATATAACAATACAATATATACCTTGGTTACGCAAATCATACTTTACTGCCTATTTTGCTTTGTTTCTTCTCCTGTTTATATCATTTAACTTTGCCAGAAAATAGATATAATAAATCTCTACATTCATTTACATTACTCTCCACTTCAATCCAGAGTATTTAACTTGTTAAACATCATTTATGGTGTTAATGCTTTAAAATCATTTATTTTTTTTAGGTTCTAACATTACCCTTCAGGTCTGACTGCTAACTGTGAACATTCGTAAATTAGTTATCAGTTACAAAAACACTGAAAATAAACCCTTCTATAGCTTCTGCACTATGGCTTCTTGGCAGATATGAAATAAAATAACTGGTTCTTCTAATTGCAAAATCACCTTGCACTGTAGATACATAAACCTCCCCATGTCCCAGGGTCCATCAGTCACCACTGCAAATCTGCCTGACTTTTGCAGTAGGTTGTGCTCTTTCAACCATTCCTCAAACTTCTTTAGGACTTCAGGGAACTCTGGTGCAAAATTCACAAGTTCCTGTCAAAGATAAACACTGATTTAACATGTAAATAATGAAGAATAAGAAGCCCAACATTCTTTAACAATGGATAAAAGGATGGTTAATGGGGGGGGGGAAATCACAAAAGATATTTACTTAATGTGTTAAAAAAAAAAGTTCTAGTTTTACTACTATGAAGAAATTGAAAACATATAAGTTTTTATTATTATCTGTATTTTTCATTTATAAACGCATATAAATAAATCCCTAAAGCATGTGCATCCAACATTTAAGCACACTTGGAGCACAGGGTATATTGTACTGATATTCCCACAGGATGCCTGAGTATTACTGTTATGTTTTCAAGCATCCTACTGTAGACTTTGTTTGTTCATAAAAAAAAAAAAAAAAAAAAAAAAAAAAAAAAATCAAGTAAAATAAGCAAAAATTATTGTTTAGTACCCTGAAGTGCCACACCTGAATCAGATCATAAGACTGTGTTAAATTGGTTCAAAACTCCTAGTTTAAAAACTGAATCTGGCTCTTTGAGATGTATTCCCTACGGAGGTTACTAGAGGTCAGGTCACAACTTTCCCCAAACTACCTTATGAAAATATTTGTTTATATTTGGTGTCACTATTATTTGGAAACTCCATCACGACTTCTGGAGTAAGGTAACAAATATGGGATATTTTTTGCGGAGATTTTCCAATAATTTCAAGGAAAATTGGTAGCTCCATCATCATTTCCATCCAAGACTACAGCATCTATGCCATTGTTTGCAAGATCCAGTACTTTATGTATAATAATTAACCCAATAACGACGGGTGCCCCATCTATGAGACACCCAAAAAAATAAACATTGCAAAGCATCCCGCCAGTGTGACAGTGTATCGGGGCTTGCACTCCAACGCAGCAGTGGGCAGAGTTCGGGCCAGCCCCGCACACCGATTTTGTAGCCACCCGGAATAACTATGACACAATACTGTTTTATCTGTTACATCTGTATCTCTCAGTACTTATTATTTTATTTGTTATAGTCTTACCTTTACTACCATCAATTCTGACACTACTAAAATACCATAGCACAGAAATTTCTTAGCATCAAAATTACAAAACCTAATGAAGAAACAATCTATATACTTATAAGACAATTAGCTCTAAAGTATTCTTTTAAAACAAATTAAATGAAAATATGATTATAGTAAACTTACTTGGGTTATTCCAGTTAGGCATGTGCAAAATTCAGTAAGTTTGGGATTGATGACTGGCCGTACATATGAGTGGAATTCCGCAATTATTTTGCTCTGACTGGTATCTACAAGCATTGCAGGAAATTCTATGATCTCATGTCTGTGGAAGAGAGAGAAGAGGAATTAAAGAACAGAGATACAAAGTGTAGTTAGAAATTTAAAGAAACACTCACATCACATCAAAGGTCTTTACTGATTTTCCTATTCTTTATAACTCTGAATATCAAGAATTTTATAAACATCAAAATCTGTCTGTCCTACATCTCGGATAAAAAATACATGAATAAAAGAAACATTAACCCCTAAAGACAACAATTCCTTAGCCAATCTTGTCCCCTAGCAGCAACAATGACCAATTTTTTTTATTTCATGAACAAAGTATTTGGTATGTGGAATTCTGGAGAGTGATTTTACAAATCAGACAATGATTTTCACACATTGATGAAATACTAAATTGATGCTCAGCAGCAGAATGACAAAGTACAGAATAGTGAAATTAGGCAGAAAATCAAGAGTAACATCTTGCTCATCAGACCTCTCTAACTCTATTTAATTGGGTACCTAATAAGATAAATAACACCCTTAAGTATTAGGACTGGAACCTTTCTCAATTCCGTTCTGAATCAGACTAAGCAGTACTAAACTAACTATACCACACATTCCAATGAAAGGAGTATGCAACTAGAAGCTAATTACCTCCTGACACTATCTATCTGCTCGTATTAGAGTAATGAAGGCGAGATTTTACACATATTGCCTGCGGGCATTGGTAGAATTGAATTAGAAATTCATTGTTTAATTCAGATGTACTGACATATCTATGAAAGATGAAATAATTCAATAACACATTGATATAAATAAAAAACAATCCTCCCTGACCAGGACTCCAATATCTGTAACTCCAATTCCAAACCATAGTGAGCAATACTAAACCAACTATCACACACAACTCAATGTCTTTATCAATGCATTATTCTATTATTCCATTTTTCATAATAGGATAAGGAAAAGGGAGGATTAATTTTGGTATCTTTGGTAATCACAGCATGGAGAAATTGATTTCCCAAAGCAGCAAATGTTTCTCTTTTGATATGTCAAATAGTTGCATAGCTACAAAGTTTAAACTAGCTATTGCAAGGCATAAAAAATCAAGATATAGAGGAGGCAGGAGGGTTGGGAAAAGAAAGGGAAAGGGCAGGAAAATATGCAAGTCGAGCAAACCTGCAAGACACCAATAGAGACACAAGAAAAGGACTGAGACTACCCAACAGCTAACCTCTTTATTATCATGCCAGTTTTTAATGGCACTGATTAAGTCTAACTTCCACATATTCAATGGCAAGTATTAAGACTAGTGAGAAGTAGCTCCCACAATCATTAGAGGTTTAACTAAATCTTGCACTTATGAGACAAAATGGTTTAGAATTGTAAGTTACATACCAAAAATTGATTAATAATGTGCTTACAGTAATCTATACTGACATGACAGACTCTTGAGTATAAAAAAATAAATAGACGTCTAACACACAAGAAAAAGAAGAAATATATATAAGTGGATAAAATGACAAATTTTCATATAACAATACCAACCACTTTCTGGTTTCTCACCTGTAAGTCTGTGAATTTCCCGCATCACATGTGGCTTCAAAATCGATGACCAGGTAATAGTCAAAGTATTTGTACAGCTCAATTTTAGGGTCTTTCTTGTACGCTTCCTCCAACTTCTCCGTTCTGTAATACGATTTCAGCCTATTCTTTCGGACCTCTCTGTTTCCTCTCTGGTCAAGTCTGAGGGATCGGAGTTTCTCTGAAAGTGGTATTATTGACGTCATTGAAAAAGAAAGAAAGTAAAAAAGGAAAACAATCAGAGCTACATGAGACAAAGGTCACATTTTTGCTTTATTCTTGTAGGACTAAAACAGTAAGAGTCTAAAATAATCATATACTTTTCAATAACATTAAAAACTATAATTTCTTTGGACTGACTTATTTTCCTTAAACTGGCATCTATCACATAAAATATCAATACACATAGCAATTACACAAAGTTTATTTTTACAAGCTGAAAAATACATTTACTATAATAGGTACAGATGCTGATAAGAACTATGAACTATTTCAATTTTGAGGATAATCAATATGATACCAATATGGAAGCTATATTTTAATTAGGAAATATGAATGATCCATATCTTCCAGATTTGCTGTACACACTTACGTCTCAGTTCATCGTTGCTCATGCGATTAATCTTTCCATTGATGACTGCTAATTCTCGAAAGACTGGATTGACATCAGTGGATTTCTCCATTTGGCTATTGTTGGGCTCCTCTCCCATTTCAATATCCTAATTAAAAAGAAAATGAGAGAAGAAAAATTGCTGTTAAAATCTCTTTTTGGCATCAATCATAAAACTAAAAACAATACATATAAGAACAAAATGAATCTGCAAATATACATTCATATGTACATATATATATATATAAACATAAATACATATTTAGATGTATGTTATGTATTATATCTACATATCTATCTATCTATCTATATATATGTACACACACATTACATATATGGATATAAATATACATCATGTATATACATATAAATATACATTATATATATACATATTTACATTATGAATATACATATAATTATGCATTATATACATACATAAATACATTATGTATATACATAAATATATATTACGTATATACATATAAATATGTATTGCAAATATACATGAATATCTTTTGTAATATTGCAAACACATGAAATACTAAAAAAACATTAAATACAAAATGTCTCTCTTTTTATACCTCTCTTAAAGGTCTTGCCACTTTGCAATGATATTGTCAGAGGATTTTGTCCTTAAGGGGACCGTCCCTGAGAGAGGAGGGGGGGGGGTTAAATTGAGTTAGTTAGCGTATAGTATAGGTACATGGATGAGGAAACTACCAAACGAGTATTAAGCGCCTGCTATGGCTCGTTGTCTTGCAGCCGGCGCGCGAGTCCCTCAGCACCCGGAGAGGTACGTCGTTAATGAGCGCCCAGGTAGACCTATGTGGACTTTTGCTTGCGGCAATCGTGCATAAGGCATTTAATTATGACATTGCGCATAGATATGAGTTCGTGAATGTTCAAGGAACACTTTTATACCAATATCAGGAAAAAATTATATCACCGTGATTTATGACGAAATATTTTGTGAAATATATCTAAAAAAAAAAATGTAAGTTTTGTGTCCTTTTACACACGAAATATGCTTTGATCGAGACTCCCTGGTAATATGTTTTAGTTTACGAGGTAATATATACGTATATCACATACGAAGCACTAATGTTAAAGACCAATTCAATACGAATGTTACCTAATTGTCAGATTTTAAAACTTCGGATGTATAAGCGAGATACAGATTATTTCATGTTGAAGATGATAGTACTCGGTAATACCTGCTCTGAAATAAAAACTATATGGAATTTTGAGCTCGGTTGTAAGCGTAGTCTTCGTCTGGCGTTCAAAAAGCTATCGCATCCGTTTCGTGCATTTCCGATAAAAATAAATATGTTTAGATGTTACCGTAAGTCTTAGGCACCATAAATTGGCAAATATCCCACAACACCTTGGCGTCTGCATGATTTTATGCACTTCTTAGTAAAGATAATGGGTGCAAATGGCTAATCATAAACTATACACTTGGTCTCCTTTGCAATCTGTTAATATTGACAATTATCGAAGAAAATGGTATGAGAGGGATAACTAATATATTTTATTATTTTGATATGAAAGTCAATGTAGGCCTACTAAATGATGATGATTAATCTTTT